GACTCCTTTATCACATAGTGTTTGGGCTATAAAGCTATTATCAAACTAATTTGATTGACAAAACCTCAAAATTGGGAACGCGTACCATTGAACTTGTTTGGAAGGCTAATTTGGGACTCTTTTTGTTGTAAAATCAATGGTCTTTGTTGAACTAGAGGCAAAGTTGCTTCTCTTGGTACTGAAGCTTAAGGCTGGTGAATCCTCGATTGTGCCATCCCGGATGCTCCATCATTATGAAGTCTTGCAATAAATCCTTCAATCTCTACAATTCTCTATGATAACGTAGCAAGAGCATTCATAATGGTGTCCAACTTGGACTCCAAATAATCAGTCATACTAATATCTTGACCTCTAGCCATTCTAAGAGAAGGAAAGAAATGACTCTACAAGAAGACAGTATTGGTTTAGAGGAGGGTACTCCGCAACTTCTAAAACACCTTAAAACCTTCAAGAAGAGGGGTAATCCACTCTCTTTAAGAAAGTTAAGACTCCAATATTATAATAGAAAAAATATCAGTTTAGAAGAGAGTAATCCGCAACCTCTAAAATGCTAGCACCTTCAAGCAGAGGGATAATCCACACTCTAACAAGAAAGAATTAGCTCTGATATGAAAGATGAATGCAGTCTGGACAAACTGTCACGAATTTAGAATATTGACTGGAAATCTAAACAAGAAGCTCAAGAAGAATTGATAAGAACTAGATTAATCAGATGAGTACAAGAACAACACTAAAAAGGTGAGCTAGAGCTCCAAGAGGTGTGTTGTTGAGACTGAGGATCCCCTGTCAAGGACAAGAACTCGATGAAAAAATAGTTCAGATAAGTAAGCCTTCACTCAAAGAAAAGTAACAAAATATGAATTGAGTTGATGCATCGCAAGCATTAACTCCCTTATTTGCTCTTGCATTTGTGCCATTGTACTCTTCATTTCAACAAGCTCTGCCATAATGATACTAAGAAGAAAAATTTGTTTGATACTGCTCAAGACAAAAGAAAAGAAAGACTTGATAACAAAGAAGATACTAAGAACAATATCAGTTTAGAAGTGGGTAATCCGCAAACTTCTAATACGCTTATGCCTTGTCAAGAGAAAGGGGTAATCCACTCTTACTCAAGAAAAACAAAGCTCTGATATTGTAAGTGCACTCTTGTCAATCTGTCAAGGACAAGAACTCGATGAAAAAATAGTTCAGACAAGTAAGCCTTCACTCAAAGAAAAGTAACAAAATATGAATAATAAGTATGTATATTGAAAAGAGAAACTAGAATGGCTATTGCCAAAAGACAAGAAAACTAGAGACCCTTGAAACTAGACTAGAAGCAAGAAAGGAGTTGACAAGAGTGAAGAAGCCTTCACTCTTGTCTCTATATATACTATCTAACTAGGGGCTACGTGGCGACGTTCTATAGGACCTCCAATATGTGTTGACTTTGTAGGACACATGCCTTGACTTACAAGGCAAGTTTTTCTACGTGTGGGCCACATAGTTAGCTTGATCTTCAAGCTAACAACATGTGTGGCACGTGGCCAACTTGTTGACCACGTTTCTAATTCAAAAAGTCAATTAAAGACACCTATGAAGTCAAAGCAGCGTCTAGGAAGTTTCTAAGAAGCTTCTATATTAAATATTATAGAATTAACTTACTTTTATCTACTTTTACTTACTTCTACCTATTTCTATATGTAATTATTAGCTTACATGATTATGGCCGTGACATCCCCTCAGTCTCGGCTCTTATATATACTATAAGCTAGGAAGCTTTTCAAGTAGCTTCTACGAACTAGGAAGCTTCTCAAGCAGCTCCTATGAGTTAGCAAGCTTCTCAAGTAGCTTCTACGAGCTAAGCAGCTTCTCAAGCAGCTTCCACGAGCTTGAAAACTTCTCAAGTAGCTTCTATAAACTACAAAGCTTCTCTAGAACCTTCTAGAATCTTCTACAACTTCCTAGTATATGTCCTTGATACCTTCTAAAATCCTTTACTTAAAATCAAGTATTTTTTTATTTTTTTTATTAATGTGATTGTTCCACCAAAGGCTAGGATTAACAAAATATTCTTTTGAATCACTTTCATTACTATGAAACCTATTATAATTAGGAATTCTAAAAGATATAGTTAAAGTTTAAACCTTAAATATAGAGTCTTACTTTATTAACCTCTTATAAACACTTTCAAGAGGTTTCAAGACCTCTACTTCTTTGACATCATTAAGTGATGCCATGAATTGAAAGAAAATCCAATCCAACATCCAATCAAAGAACTAATGAAATAAAAGCATGAGAAGTCATAACAACAATAGTATCAATTCCAACAATAGCAAATTTTTATAATTATTCAAATCAATAGGATTTTTTAAGTATATTCAACATGTTCATAATATGTATATTTAATCAAAGTAATTTACTTACAATAATTAGGTTTGCAACATGATTCTACATAAAAATTACTATCATAAAAGAAAGTAATTAAATACAAGACATCTTTGTAAAACTAAGAAATAAGAAAAATAATGAGTAAAAGACAGTATTGTAAACTTTAATGCTCTTAGTTCTATTGTTATAATATATCCATATCATGGTGATAAGCTTCATTCATCCATAGTTTTATTTAGCTTCATTTGTTTGTTCTCTCTTTTCAGTGTCTAATCTTTTGTGTATTTAATTATTGTATTAGTACCTTGTCAATACATGCCAAGAGCATAACTCTCAATTGTTGATGCATGTATGTGTACAATGCTAGGTTCATGATTCACTTTCTTTCTACATAAATATATTAAAAAAAAAAATTAAAATTAAAATTAAAACTTCTAAATATAATATTATTTTTTAAATCCAATATATTTTTTAAAAAATAGATATTATATAAAAAATATTTTAGCCAAAGTTAAACATTTTACAACCTTCTAGATGCAATTGTATTCTTTTAGAAATAAGATAATGTACTTTTATTTAAAATAAAAATTTAAAGTTAAAAAAAATATAAATATTTTTAATTTTTAAAAAAATATGAAGAAATTGTAAAAGATCTAAAAACCAAAGATGAAGGCATTAAGAATTTCAAAAAAATTAAGTATTATATTTAAAATTATATTATGTTTATGAAGTTAAAATTAGATAAAATTTTAATTATAAAAAAATACATTAAAAAAAATAATTCTTAACTTATTTTTTTAATTATATCATGGAAATTAGATCCTATACAAGTTTTTAAGAAAAGTTCTATAAATCTTAAAATAACTTAGATGTTCTTTCATATAATTATTTAAATAATCTTTCATATAATTTTTTTAGATTATTATCAAAAAAAAATTCAACATAGCTATAGAAACAATTGAAGCTTATTTAATATTATGAAATATTTTATAGGTGTATAGAAGGCTTTAAAATCTTAAAAGAATACTTATAAGATATTACATACTTCTAAATATCTATTATAACAGATAAAATATTTAAAATTTAATTAATTATTTAAGGTCTTAATTAATTATATATCAATAATACCTTTTGGCATCTAGTTATGTCATTATATTAAACTTTAAGAATATTCAAGAATCTACTAATCCTTTATTTAACTACAAAGACTCTTTAAAATTATTTTATTTTTATTTTTTATTATTTACTATCCAAAACATGTATTTTAAGAAGATGCATTACTATTAAAGAATCACTTCTTCTAAGTTTTTCTTTCTTTTTTTCTTTCTTCTCTACAAAATTTAGTTTTTAAGTTTTGAATCATTCTAAAAACAAATAGCTTTAAAAGTTTAGTCTCTTTACATATTGAGTTAATAAATTGATGTGTAACAAAATCAAATAATTGTTAGTCTAAAAGGATTCTAGTTTTTTTTAAATAGAATCTAAATTTACTAAACAATGCCAAAATAATTGCAATTAAAATCTTTATTTTGAAATCAACACCATTTCCAATAGACCCTTAAGCTTAAAATATCTAAATGATGATAATAATAATAATAATAATAATAATAATAATAATAAATTATTAATTTTAAAAATAAATAAATATCAATCCAAAAAGTCACCATTTTAGACTCCTACCAACAAATTTATATATAGGTTAGCTTCTAAATACTTTAGAGAAACATCTAGATGCAAAATCACTTTACTCATTCAATTTTCTAAGTATTTAAGAACCACATATTGATTCACACAATCTAAGATTTGTCTACTACTAAGGGCTTCTTCTATGTTCAATGAATAGGCAATGTTATTCTTGGACTTTGCCCACATCCAGTGACCTCGACAAGGCAAAATCTACCCATTTTTTAAATTTTGCACTTCCTTGTCTAAAAATGTAAATTACTTTATGATCTTTCATAAGAGGTCATAGAAAGAAATTTTTGATAAACAGGCAAGTGACTTTTCATAAGAGGTTATAAAAAGACCTAATGACTTTCTATTGCAAATATCTACCTAATAATTGCATCACCCATCTTTTTCGCTCCCCAAAGTCATTTAAGGACAAGTTGCAGACTCCATTGCTAAAACTAATAATGTATCAAAAAATTAGAGGAGGGTTTTATATCTTAGCTTCAATTTTATCCACCAATCAAGCATAAAAGTAAGCCCTAAGAGCATTAGAACACTCTCATGTCAACATTGGATTAGCAGAGAATATTAATTCTAGACATAAATTCTTCTCTAATATCACTATCTGACACTTGACCTTGATCAGAAACTAGCAACAGAATCTACTAAAACAATATTGTGAATCAAGATTCACAATGAATTGACTTCAAAATCATGGTCACTACAACAGTCAGTAGTGTGGCATCAGCAGCTATGCCTTTGGAACAACAAGACAAGCGTTTTACAAATAATATGAGAGCAAGCATTGAGTACATGCAGCTTCTTCTTCTTCTTCTTCATTCTTCCGATTGCACAATACACGTGAGGCATGTACAGAGGAAGGTTGTGTAGGTGGAGAAGCATGAAGAAGAGGAGAAACTGTTATACTAGAGGACGAACAGACACTCCATTACAAACAAACAGTTGAAATATGTTGTCCTGCGGAATCAGTTGCCGCAGCATCTGGAGAATCGGGAGTGTCGTGCCTATTTAGCTTCTAGGAGTCTGCACTTGCATCGTGAGTTTCGCATTGCATTGGTTGCGGCATTTTTATACAGTGTTTTTGGAGGAGGAAGTGTGGGTTTTTTCGGGATAATTTGGATGTGAATCTGCAGATCGGAGGGTGTTCTTGGCGTTGGATCAAGGTGGGAATTGAAGTAGCGAGAGAGAGAGAGAGAGAGAGAGAGAGATGATTTTACTTACGAACATTGGCCAAGCGGAGGTGGCTTTAGGGAGATCGTTGACGTACTGGGAAGGATTGTGGTGGGAAGGGACTCACAATGTGAGTGACTATTACTTGTACTGTTTGAACATCATCTTTTTGTTTACCATCTTCACGATCGCGCCGTTGCCCTACGTGCTGCTGGATGTGTGGAAGGTGAAGAGTGCGGAGAAGTACAAGGTGCAGCCTGGAGTGCATAATGCGCCATCAGCAACATGGCGGTGTTACAAGGTTGTGATGTGGACATTCTTCACGGTGGTTGGGCCTTTGCAGCTGTGCTCGTTTCCTGCGGTGAGGTCTATAGGAATTCGGTTTGGTGTGCCGTTGCCGTCTGTCGGAGAGGTATGCATGCAGCTTGTTCTGTATACCATGGTGGAAGATTACGGCAACTACTGGTTGCACCGTTGGTTGCATAATGGTTGGTGGTACGATAAGATACATAGTGTACACCATGAATTTGCGACTCCGATGAGCTTTGCCGCGCCGTATGCACACTGGGCGGAGGTTATGATTTTAGGAGTGCCGACTTTCGTGGGTCCTGCGATGGCGCCTGGTCATATCATCACCTTCTGGCTTTGGATTGCGATACGTCAGTTGGAGGCCATTGAGACTCATAGCGGATACGATTTTCCTTGGAATCCTACACGCCTGATTCCTTTCTATGGAGGGGCAGAGTATCACGATTACCACCACTTTGTTGGAGCGAAGTGCTCGAGCAACTTTGCCTCGGTGTTCACATATTGCGATTGGATCTATGGTACCGATAAGGGATACCGCTACATGAAGGAGATGCACAAGCGGGGGCTGGTCGCGAAGGGCCAAGCACAAGAACAGAACGGAAATGGATGGCTTCAGAAGAATGACCTGAAAGGCCTCCCTGCCTCCTTATCTGAGGGTATCAGAGCGTCATAATGCCTCCATTTTTCATGATACTTTCGATGTCTCCGTCGATTTTTCGGCTGCAATCCCTTTCACGCTGGAATTTCTGTTTAGAATGTAGCTTCTCTCTTCTGCAGCCATCTGAATTAGGACACAAATGAGACACCGAAGACGTTCTAGTGGAGGAATAGAAGCACTACATTATGAGAAGACCAGGTCAAGTGACAAATATGCAATACGTTCTGCCCCACCTACTACGATAGAATGTGCACCAGTTCAACCTCATGCTACAGGGATCAGTCACGAGTTTGTAGCATGCAGAGCTCTTTGAACGTTCTTTTCTTCTATTCAATAGAGCGTGTATTCCTTGGATAGGGCTAGTGCACAGTTAACCTTTGTTATTTCGTAATATTGTGATGCATAATACACTTAAAATGTCTGGATTCTGCTGGTGGCGTACTTGGCATGAATTTAAGCATTTTATCATCAGGTTTTCTCGGATTCATTTCTAGCAACTATTCTAGATGCAGGAGTCTAATTCTTTTCCTTGAGAAACCGAGGCTTATTGCTACCATTTTCCCCTCTTCTCGATTGCGTTCAAATTAGTGAACTTCCAAGGATGACCTATTCTGAATGCGTGTGTTTATGTCTTCGTATTCCGAATTTTCCTAGTGGGTCTAATATGATTCATAGGGAGTATCTTCTTGCTTTTGAATGAAAACAGTGAACCAGAATTTAGTAGTTACAACTGTCGGTGCTTCTGTTATGTACTCGCCTTGTGGGTGTAGTACAAAACCTACCAAGTTTCAAACTCTTTCATGTGACCCACAATCCATAGCTCTTATCAAGGAGAACATAACTAAAGTGTTTGCTTACCTTGAATCATGAATTTTGGTAATTGTTGCACAATTAACAATATGTTTTCTATACATTGATAAAATAAAATTATTTTAGGATTAGATTCCTAAAAACTAATTTTTTTGGTTCTTAAATAATCAAAATTAAGATGGTACAAGTTTATGAAATAAAGTACTCATAAATCTATATTAGATTTTTTAAGTTGGATACTTTTAAGATAAAACTCAAAGCAAGTTAAAATTGATCAATAAATTTTTAAAAATTAAATCTTATTACTTAGACTTCTATTACAAAACCATTTAATGGTTTTAGAATGCAAAAAGTACATGTACATAGTTATTTATTATCAAAGGTATGATGTAAATTGATAAATTTTTTGAATAATATGTTGCAATTGTAAATAAAGAGAATTAATATTTCTATCTATACTTTTGTTGTTTACACCATGATACAATAGTTCTACTATATATATGGAATTACAAAATATTCATTTTATTGCCTTCATTAAGGTCTATGATCTTTTTTTCCTCTTTGTCCATTATATTTGGCTCCATGTAATCTACATCTTTATATATATGACAAATTATTCTTATCATATGGCTAGCAATTCAATCTGACCATTCTTTTGCCAAAAAGAGGCTTCAATAGGAGGTAATTGGTTGAAAAAAATCAACCACATTGCCTAAAAATAGTTATTGCAATGAACAATGGCTATTAGTTCTACATTAATAATGAATAAAAATAATAAAAGTGTAGATAGAAACTTTTTAATGTTATTTCAATTTTATAATCTAAAATATTAAAATAAAATTATACATACATTTATATATATTCTAGAGCTATTTTTTTGTCAAACATCTTTAAATCTTTAGAATACATATTGTATTAATTTTTTTAAAATTATATGTACTTCAATTGAATTTTCTTGTTTTTTTTAAAATAAAATATATTATAGTTATAAATCACTTTTTACACATACTTTCAATAAATCAAGTCTATTTATCTATTGACTTTTACAAAACTACTTATTAGATTTTCTATTGCTTTTGAACTATCTTAGCATGCTATAAGTTATATTAATTTTTTCTATACAAAATGACTTGGTCTTAAAAAATAATGTATATTTAAATATTAAATTTAAATTATCCATCTTTAAACTATAATATTTTAAAAATTATTCACAATTTAACTTTTGTCATATTTAACCTTTTTAAGTGCATTCAAGGTCCAAACTGCATATCATACAAATATTGGCATAGCTCTTTTGGATACATTTCACCTCTTCTTTTGATGATGCTTGTATGTTGGATAAATTTTTGTAAAAATATATAATAAAAGTTTTTGTACCACTATACTACTTCTTGTATGGATAGTTTAGAGGGAAGAAGGGAGGTGGACTTAGAAGTTGGCTAGAGCTTAGTTTGGGTGGAAGTTTAAAAGAGGCACCTCTTTTCAAGATTTGTTGTGTTTGATTAAGAGTGATAAACTTGATTCCATGACTTAAGCAGTCATGAAAGCCAAAGTGGGGTGAAGTTTCAAAGATCTATCAAATAAGGGGTTCAAAGAGAACTCTTTTTGTCTCCAAGTATCACTTTCTAGTTTCAATTCTCATTAAAACAAATACAATGATAAAAAAAACAAAAAAATAAAATAAAATAAAATAAACTTTGCAAAGATGACAAAAAAAATAAAAATAAATAAAAAATTTAAAAAAAATAAAATGATATATAGTTCAATTTTTATTTGGAAGCTTTTTTTGCCAAGACTCAAATCCAAGTCATTCAAGTAAGAACTAAATATCATAACTGTGGAATTCTTTCTAGGATTAAAATAATACACTAAAATACATTACATGAAGTACATCTATATATGTCATCCAACCATTGGCTAAGAGTAATGAATCAATAACCTTTTGATGGACATGGTGAACTTGCCTAAGTCCAAAATATACTATTATACATAATCATATTTAGGATTAAATGACCACTATCACTAGTACTGAAATGGTATTTATGAGATACATATCACTCATTATTGATGTCATATTATACCTTGGCTTTCTAGTCTATTGTTTTTTATCTTAGATGTCGAGGGCCTAGATCAAAGAATTGCCTCCCATTTGCCATTCATGCTCAAATATTATTTTTCTATAAGTATTATATAATTACAACATAGATTTTGAGATTTGTGATACTATTTCTAATGCATGGATTAATTTAAGATGATGCTATTAATTGAAGAAGGTCCTTTGGGCCATATGATATGGTATCAAAATAGCATTATTGCTCTTTTTTCATCTTATGCTATTAATAAAGTATATGTGGTGAGTTTGATGGCTCTTCTTTATATTTTCTTTTTATTTTTGGCAAAAATTCTTTCTTTTCTTTTTTTATTTGTTCTTTTGTTAGATTTGATGAAGGAGATTTAGAAACGTCTTGTTGAAGATATATAATTGGTTGTCAAAATCAAAAACTTAATGAAAGAAAATAAAAAAGTGAGACTTTTTCAAAGAAGTATGACAAAATAGAAATATAAAAGTATATATATTAAAAAGAAATTAGAATGACTATTTCCAAAAAAAAAAAAATAAATAAAAAATAAATAGAGCTTTTTTGAAATTAAACTAGAAATAAAAAAAGAATTGACAAGAGTGAAAAAGACTTTACTCTTACCTCTATATATACTATCTATCTAAAAGCTACATAGTGACATTCTATATGACCTTCAAAACGTGTTGACTTTGTTTAATACATATCTTAATTTGCAAGTTAAGTTTTATATATGAGCACCATATAGTTAGCTTATTTTACAAGCTATCAACATGTGTGGCATGTGATTAACTTTTTGATCAAGTTACTAAACTACTAATCAACTATAAATACATAAAAAATCAAAGCAATATTTATAAATCTTTTAAGAAGCTTCACTAAAAGATATTAAGAAATTAATCTACTTTTATTTATTTCTATTTATTCATATTATTTAGATAATAATTAAAATAAATATATGTTTGTGATATTACCTTCTTTTTTAGGAATAAGTTCCAAAAAATGTAGTGCTTACATATTGAAAAAGTCTAAAATGAAGTGAATTGTATTTTTCACGTACTTTAATTTTTTTTTTCTTTGAAGGTAGTTGATAGGTCCTCTTAGCTATTATTAATGTTTTATTCTAAAGCTAAAAGATCACCTTATTATTTGATCATTCTTGAGACCTTTGTAACTTCTTTCAAATAAAACATTTGTAATACCATCAAGAGTCATTCCTACCTCTAATAAAATTATCAGACATTAAGACTTTTTTTTCAGATTGTGATACCAAACATATTGTATCTTACCATCTATTAGAAAAAAATAGGTTATTCTAGAAGGTCTTCATCCCTATTATGTAGTCTTAAATATTGTAATAATTGTAATGTCTTATTTGGTGAGTTAGTAAATGATGGCTCTTGAATTGAATCTGTTGATTGTTGATTCTTCATCTCCTTACCGCCACAATTACACGAAAACTACAAACAATGATAGAAGGTAGAATGAAATATTTCCTAAATTGTGCTTCTTTTGTAGCAAAGATTTATTATTATTTATCTTGATTTTAATAGATACCATTAATGAAAAGCTTTGACCTTCTCTATTGTATTTGTAATATTTTTTGCTAACTTCTATGTATGTTTGCTAATATCATATTTGTACCAATGAATAAGGTATTCCAATCTAAGTTAATGTTGTCTTGAGTCTAAAACTTCTTCCACCTTGAATTCTTAATTATTATCCACTTCTATAAGATGTAATAGTATTTGTCTTCTTTTTGAGATATTCACTATCTTGTATGGCTCTAAAAGAAATATATGAAATACAAGATGAATTTTCATAGACTTTGGTAGATGTAATCAATAAGCAACTAGATTAACTTCTTCATAAATAGGAAATAGTCAAAGTTTATGATTATCCAACTTATCACAATGAAAAATAATTTTAATATTACAATAAAGTAACCATACTTTATTACCAACATGAAAATAAAGTTATTCCTTGTAATAGGCATTGGCATTGCTCTTTTTTTATTCTTCAATCTCTTTTAGTCATGCCTTTATTATTATATGTAGCTCTAATAAATAATTTTTCAAATCTTCTACCATATGATTATCAACTTTTAAGAAGTCAAAAGTATCAAATCATGGATAATAACCATAATTAGCAAAAAATGATGTTTCTTACATAGAAGAATGTATTGTATTATTATAAGTAAATTTTATCAATGGCAAAAAATTATCCAATCATCTTATTAGTAGTTAATGGTATACTTCAAATATTGCTCCAAAACCTTGATTTACATATTCTATTTTTCTATCAATTTGAGGATAGAAAGTCAAAGATAGTTTTATGTCTACATTCAAAATCTTAAAAAGAATTTTTTAAAATCTAAATACAAACTGAGTTTTTCTATCTAATATAATATCTTTAGGTAATTCATAATAGTAATAGATGTTATTAAAGAAAAGCTTAGATGTTTCTTTACCTATGATAGATTTTGTAAATGATACAAAATAATTCATCTTAGTAAAAAAATCTACTATCATAAATATAGAATCATAAGAATTTGAGACTAAAAGATCCATAATAAAATCCATAGAAATAGAAGATTATGGTTGTTCTAGAATGAATAATGGTTAAAGAAGTCTATAAGATTGATGATAAGAAATTTTTTTATTTAAAG